AACCCATGATCTGACAGCTTGTATCTTAAGCTTTCTTGGCTTCTGTTATTCCAAACACGTCAACTGCTGACATTTTTTTTTACCAGTGTCTCTTACGTTTAGTTGTACTGTCTCCAAGGGAAGGTGACGTGTCCTGTAGAACTCCTGTGTAGATTATGTTTTCCCACCGGTTTTTCTGTGTACCTGAAAGATGCCTCTTCGCTATTATCCGAGGTGATCTTCCCCGATGTGCAGCTTCCCGGCTTCCCTTCCGCCCAGGAGCATGTTCTCCCGCCAGTTTTTGTGTACCTGAAAGATGCCTCTTCGCTATTCTGTGTACATAGGGTTACCAGGTGAAGGAATCAACTTTTAACAACTTACAGCAAACTCAGAGTGTCTATTAATGGCTTCTCCCTTTTCTAACACAGGATCTAGTATTGTATATGTTGTTGTTGTCGTGTGCCGTCAAGACACTTGCTACTCATAGAGACTCTATGTACAACATCCCTAAACCCTGCTCTATACTGTGCCAATCACACTGCCTCCGACACACTCATTCCGCTTACCCCCGTCACTGAATCAATCCACCTCATAGAGGGTCTTCCCCCTCTTGTGCTGTCCCTCACCCTCCTAAGCATGACGTCCCTCTCCAAGGACCTGTCCCTATTTAAAACATGTCCAAAGTATGTCAGATGAAGCCCCAGAATCCGCACCTCTAAGGAGTAGCTCGGTTTAACCCTCTCCAGAATGAAATTGTTTGTTTTCTTAGCAGTCCATGGTACACACAATACTCTTCTCCAGCACCACAGCTCAAAGGCATCAATTCTCCTTGTATCCTCCCTAGTCATTGTCTAACTCTCTGTTGCATAACAAGTGATTGCAAAGACCATGGACTGTATCAGACGCACCTTAGCCTCCAGAGTGATACCATTGTTCTTCAGTACTTTGGAGAGATCCCTAATAGCAGACTTTCCCATCGCAATACATCTTTTAATTTCCTATGTGCTGGTGCCAAGAGTGTTGACTGGGGAGCCAAGCAGACTAAAGTTGTTAACAATTTCAATCTTTCCACCATCCATCCTGATGCTGCCATTTGGCCCAGTGGTGAGAGTCTTTGTCTTCTTGATATTGAGCCTCAATCCATATTGAAGGCTGCAGTCCTTGACCCTCTGCAGCAAGTGCATGAGGTCCTCCTCAGTTTCAGCAAGCAGGGTTGTGTCATCTGCATAATGCAGATTGTTCATAGAATCTTCTACCAATCCTGATGCCACACTTCTCCTCATAGAGCCCAGCCTCTTGGATCATCTGTTCTGCATACAGGTTGAAAAGGTATGGAGATAGGACACATCCCTGGTATACACCCTTCCCAATTTTGAACCGTGCAGTGTTTTCTTGCTCAGTTCTGACAATTGCCTCTTGGTCCAAGTATAGGTTTCGCATTAGCACAATCAAGTGTTCAGGGATTCCCGTTCTTCTCAGAGTCAGCCACCATTTGTTATGATCCACACAGACAAATGCATAACACAGATAGACATTCTTCTGGTATTCCCTGCTTTCAGCTAAGAGCCATCTAATATTAGCTACGATAACCTTAGTATTACCACCCCTTCTAAACCCAGCCTGGACTTCTGCCAGTTCTCACTGATGTGCTGTTCCAGTCGTTTTTGGATAATCTTAAGTAGAACCTTGCTTGCATGTGAAATCAATGATATTGTTCTATAGTTTCCACACTCTGTTTGGTCACCCTTCTTTGGAATGGGAACAAATATAGATCTCTTCCTATATATTGCTCATTTATTTGACTCATCTTTTTACTGTCTTAATGTATAGTTTATAACAATCTCCTTGCTTTTTGTTTTGGATTTTTTCCCCCCATGGCTTTTATTTGCTTGAAACAGTCCAACCAGTTGTCTTGTAAAATTGTCTACATTCTACATTTACCAGTTTTTTTCCCACCTGATTTATGTTCAGATTAGAACAGTTTGGCAAGAATGCTCCTTAGATAGTGTATATTGTTCGTATTCTGTTACGTCATGAAGCTTATGCAGTAAACCCTGCAAAAGCTGGAACTGGAACTAGAAATAAGCCAGAAGCTTATCTCACTCACTCACTCTACCTCTGAGCTCATTCCTACTCAGAGTGACCCGCCATCAGGTTTCTGAGACTGTAAACATAATGGGAAGAGATCAACTATCTTCTTTTTTTTTAAATTATAATTATATTTTATTAATTTTCATAAACATTTACAGAGATTTTGGGCTTCCACTCATTCATTGTTGCACTATTCTCTCT